AACATGCAAAATACAGTCTTTATGTTTAAGAAATGTACATCCTAAGTTTCCTAAAAATGTTTTCAATTTTAAAAAATCGAGTTGCTTTTTGTTTGTGCTTTTAATAAGAGAACAAAATGAATTGTGATGACTGACACAAAAGATATTCCAAAGACAGGAAGGGCATGGATTCTGGAGTCAGGCAGAAGGAACTCCGAAATGTGGTCTATCAGTTACACCTGTTACTTCCTCATGCCCCCTGGTATAGAATCAATACAATAATATCTCCCACCTTACAAGGTTGTATTGGGCTAAGATAAAGAACTTCCTGGCATATTTCCTAAACCCTTGTAAGTACTTAATAAATTACATCTATTCATTTTTATTTATGATATGGTTTGGGGCTAAATTGAATTTCTTGAATGTGCCATTATGCACATTCTTCACCTAAAAATGTGGTGAGATCACAGCATCCCCCTCACCCCAAGTATCTATTCAGATTGGTCCATCCTGTGTAGTTTGGAGCTCCTTCTCCTTCCCTACTACTTCTATATACACAAATGAATATCAGAAAACTGCACATCAATGGAATGTGTATTGCAAACCTCAGAAAAAGTCATTAGTTTTTGTTTTAATTATTATACAAACTTCGAGGTGGTTAAACTTTTTTTTTAAACAGTTCTAAAAATTGTTAAACTAATATTGATGGTGCATTCAGCACGTCCCAGGCATTGCTCTGGATACTACAAGAATCATCCTGACCACCCTGTGAGAAGTTGCTTGGCTTTGGAGTCAAACACGCCTGGCTCAAATCTTGGTCTTATCGCTTGTTTGTTTAGTGATGCTGGAAGAGGAACTTAATTACTTTGAGTCTGTTTCTTAATCCATAAAATAGGGGGTTGGTAATACCTTCGAGGCTCGTTGAAAGGGTTAGTCTGTGTAAAGTGCTACGCACATACAAGGCACTCCGTGAACAAGGGCTAGCTGTCCCCGCTCTTAGTGATTGCAGATGGGGAAACTGGGGTTATCCCTCCAAGCCTCATGTGCTGTGAGGACATAAGCCTTACATTAAAAGTAACACAGTGTGTCTTCGATTCTCTGTAAGTTTTGCTGCAAATGACAGCCACTGATAGGTCAAACTGGGGTTTGATCCCAAATCTTTGGATTCCAAATTCTATGCGTTCTCATCCTTTCCACTGTGTCTCCTGCTTGTGTTTCGGGGAGGCATCGTCTTCAGGCTCCTGGGGAGATACCTGAGGGAATGATTTGTGTTCCTCTATGAACTGTGTTTCACGTACCAACTCGAAGCGGCTGTTACCGCCACTGCTCCTCCTCATGCGCCTTCTTCCAGACCGATAGGTCACTCTAGAGCCGGCTTCGGGCCCAGGACTTGCCCTGTCCCAGCTCTGCTCAGAAGCACTGTTTGGGGAGAGGTGGGAGTGGAGGATGATCTCCAAAGGTAGTACCTTTTCAACAATCTCACAGGCCATATGCTTCTATGAATGTTTTAACCCAATGAAGAGCTATCAATGAAAGCAGGGTAAACAAGATTGTGAAATGAGTAAAGAAGGTAATCAAAAAGTAATGCCTTCAAAGGAGCTCTCTCTCCCAACAATGAAATACACAGACTGTGCCCCCCTTACCCCGGCAGGCCCACTCTCCCCCAGTGTGAGGACTTGGCCTTGCCCTTGGCTCCTCTCCTCTCTACTGCACGCACCCCAGATGTCTACCCATCTCAGCCCCTTTACGTTAGCTCAGGTGATAAGCCAGTAGCTGTCAACGTGCTGATAGGACAGTGACCGTTCTGTGTTCGGCCTCTCCTTGTCGTTGTCCTATCCTCTAGCAGTGGAAGGGCAGGAATTCTGGACAAGGACAGAAAGGAGGGGGTCAATGACAGGATTCTCCACTTATATTCCCATGTGACCGAACAGCATCTCTGGTTAAGGCCAGCAGTGTGCTCTGTGTGGCTGGCCCTCAGCTCCTGCCTAGAGGATTTTCATACCTTGATGTCTCCTTTTCTGGACTCAGTTCCAGGACTGTTGCCTCAACTTGTTCATCTATAGAACCAGTCTTCATTTTTAGGGAGAGAAATATTTCAAGTGGGGTTAAAAAAATAAATAAAACAGAAGGCATAAGACCAACCAAGCCAAAACCCTGGAGGTTCTTTTGAGTATCAGAGTTTGATGTTTGACCTTAAATTAATAGAGAGTCCAAATTGTTCTTTTTGGAAGTTCCCTCTGAACAATTTTGTTTTCGTAGCATTTAAAGGCTCAAATTCAGAATTTAGTATTTGTTTAGTGAATTCCTATAGAACAGTTGTACTTGGGAGAAAAAAATGGATAAAGGTAATTTTTTTCTGCTGTACCATTTCTTCTTTATCTACAGAGTTGTATACCCTTAAAGCCAGGAAGTTCTAAGGTATCTTGATTTTTTTTTTTTAAGTTATCTCAGGGAAGTTTCAGAGAAAAACACTAGTAAACACAATTTGTGTTTTAAATTAAAAGGATTTTTTTTTAAGTTTAAACAAAAGACTTTCAAACTTTCTGGACCTGTCATAAGAAATATATTTTACATGTGAGTAAACCACACTTTATTTATCCATTTATCTGTTGCTGGAGAACGGCTTCATTAATTTTTTTTATTATTGAAGTACAGCTGACATACAATATTATGTTAGTTTCAGTTGTGCAACACAGTGACTTGACAATTCCACATATTATGCAGTGTTTGCCACAGTAAGTGTTGTTACCATCCTGTCACCATGAGAACTATTTCATTTTAAGGGGGAATTTTATTCAGAAGATGATTGTAAACTAAATGATCGAGCATTCCTTTATAGGTTTAATTGCATATATATAAGTGGAGCCTAAAGGCTTTCAAAGAAATCTGACATCTATTTATAGAAGCCTGAGTATGAGACGAAGTACTATATATTCAGAAGCTCATGAGATAGTACTGGGCCTGACCTATAGATTCAGGGTTCATTTATGTACAGATGGCAAGTGAAATCATGTGAGTGCATGAAATTGCCCCAGGGAGAGGGTGTAGAGGAACCTAGGACAAAGTCCTGAAGAATTTCAATATTTGGGGAGCAATAGAGGGAAAGGAGCCTCCAATTTCTTCCCTGGAGATGGTGATAATAAAACCTAACCTAGGCAACCATCAGCCTCATCATCATTTGAGAAGAAAACACCTCCTACTTTTTCACATAAATGAGACAACAGATGCAAAGCAACTGGTGCTTGGCCCATAGGTAAGACCTCAGTAATGACAGCTAATAATATTGCAGTGATGAAACTTCTTCTTATTCTGTATTTTGTGTCTGTGCTATCACTGTTGTCAATTTCTGTGCCCATTGCTTTATTTTATTGTCTGGTAATAATCATATCTAGGACTGCCTATTTTGAAATGATCTTTCCCACCCTCTTAAAAATCAGACTATTTTTAATTTTGTTGTTGTTTCCAGACTTGACTAGCTCCTCTCATAACACCAAAGGAAACTAAAAGAAATCTAAATTAGGTGGAGAGGAGCTAGAGGCCCAGGCCAGACTTCGTCTGTGGCTGACCCAAGACTGCATTTCTGGATGCACAGAGGAGGATGTTCTCACTTCCACGACTTGGAAGAGAACAGTTGTAGCCCAAAATCATCAGGACAACAAAATTCTTTCTCTTAATATCTCTTTGTTTTGATATTGACAAGGGAATAGTTACTTCATTTCTCAAAAACAAGTGATTTTTTTCCCTCCCATTTTTGTTAAAAAATAGTTGACAAATATTCAGGACCCAGCCTAAAAACGATTATGCTGTAGAAATTGACTTTAAAATTTTTATGAAGTTCTGGAATCAGAAGTGGAAAATCATTGGCTATAGTGTTTTTGAAGCTTATTAGATTATCAGACATAATGTCTTGAACTTGTTGTTCCTCTAAGATCTTTGACTATTATTATTCTCTTTTGAAAAATTTCTTTGAATATTTTTTAATGAACTCTCAAAAGTCATGACCACACTGTACATTCACTTTTAACACGGTTGGTATGATTGTTTCTTCCTAGATCTTCTCAAGGAGTTGTTAAGATATGAATAACTTCTACATCTCATTACTTTGTTTGCTTTAGTCTTTCAGAGTTATCTTCATAATTTCCTAAATTTTTCAAATCTTTCCATTCCTCAAGGGTGAAAATATTTCCAATGTTTTCTTTTATTTGACATTTGATTAGTTCTGTTTTTCTGGAAGGTCACATCTTTGGTGTATTCCTCTATATATTCCATATATAGGAATGTATTCTAGGTACAGGAAATACAACTTTCTGTGAAATTAAAATTACAGATTGGCATAGCATTTTGTGAATGTGTACAAATTCTTTCATCCTTTATTATTGACTGATTTGTTATAGACTGAGAGAATGAAATACAAAGAGATATAACTTGTATTAAACCACACACTTAAAAATCTTTCTGGGGGCGCCTAGGTGTCTCAGTCCGTTAAGCTTCTGACTCTTGGTTTCAGCTCAGGTCATGATCTCAGGGTTGTGAGATCGAGCCCCACGTTGGGCTCCACATTCAGTGCGGAGTCTGCTTGTCCCATTCCCTCTGACCTTCCCCTCACCCCGTCTCTAAAATAAATAAATAAAATCTTTTTAAAAAATGACACTGGAAATGGACTTTGTCTCCTGAATCCTGATCCAGTGCACTTTTCACTGGAAAATAGACAATTCTTTGATGTTCATGACCTAGTTCATATTGGCCATTGTCCAAATTTGGAGGTCAAAAACAGGACAGAGCTTATGGAAAACTATTATCGCCTGTCTGTTTCTAATTTAATACAAGAATTACTGGAATTTTTGTGTATTTTCTGATCTATTTGGTAGAGCATGCTGCCTCTTATCTCATGGTCAAATTATAGAAAATGAAATGACTTGAAAACATAAGATAATAATAGCATTTGTTTTATAGTCCTATAAAAATCAGTAGTGACTGGTGAAATATAGCCTTCTTTGTAACCCCAAACCTGAATCAGAAGCATGGAGAAGTCAATTAAGAGACCCGAACCCAAGGAAAATTATGAGAAGAAAATGATGATTGTCACTATGATATTTTGTTCCTATAAGGGGATAAGGCAATTAGAGGTAAGAAGGAAGAAAGTTTTTAACAATTCAAATTGAAAATGAATGAGGGGAAGGTATTCCTAGATATTATGGGTGGGTAGTTTTAAATGTCAATAAGTTTTCCTATAAAGTCGTGTGAAGAGTAATGAAGTAGAGCTTAGCTTAATGTGGGAAGAGATTTTTTTTAAACATTGATATTTTAAAGACCTAAGCATCTTAAACGGAATGACTATTAAAATGCAAAATTAGACTGAACAGAGGCATTCTGGGGATTATATATAAGTAGAATCCTAAGAGCCAGATAATGAATGACTCAGATAATCTGAGCGGTTTGGGCTGACTCACATGTTTTGGAAGAAGATGTCATCAAGTCTCTGATTCTGTCAATGTTTTTCCCTTTGTTCCACCTGTTAGTGCCAAACAAATCCTGAAATTCAGGGACTTTTCCAGCTCCAATTTGCCAAAAAGACTTTCCAAACCACCAGTAACAAGTCTAAGGTTTTTTTTAAAAAAAAGACTTATTTATTTATTTAAGAGAGAGAGAGTGCTGGTACACAAGCAGGGGGAGGGACAGAGGGAAAGAGAGAATATCAAGCAGACTCTCTGCTGAGCATGGAGCCCAATGCAGGACTCAGTGTGGGACTCAGTGGAGGGCTTGTCTCACAACCTGAGATCATAACCTGCGCTGAAATTAGGAGTCAGATACTTAACTAACTGAGCCACCCACACGCCCCAACAAGTCTAAGGTTTTGAAATATATAGGTATTTAGTATATCTGAATAATACTAAGAAACACAAGTCACATATGTAATTATGGAACATGCAGGAGATAGGAATCCCAGATAGAACCTTGATAGGATAGGAATGGAAGAACCAAGATTGGGTTTGGTTTGTCTAAGGTGTAAGAAAGGAAACTTGTTACCCCAATACTGCCTGAATGATGCTTCCTGGAAGGTATTTTAAATCCATAAATTTTATCTGGCACCTCTACTAGGTGTAGGGAACATACAGAAGGGATTCTGGCTTCTGTCCTAGAAAAGCTCACAGTCTATGAGGGAAATTGACGTAAGAACTAAGTGGAACATTTTGATATAATACATCTAAGAGCAACATTTTGGGAGAGGGTCACAGAATTGTCAGTTTCTTACACCACTAGGATTTCGAGGCTCTCACAGAGGAGGTGGCATTTGGCTGGGCCTTGAAGGATGATTTAAAGTTCTAAATATCTAAATAGGAAAAGCACTTCAACCAGAGGTAAGAACCACATATGGAAGAAAGAGATAACTGGAGTACAGACGTTGGGATATGCTCAGAGAGTGGTTAATAATCAATCTCGTCACAGGATTGAGGAAGTAAAAAAAGATGAGTTGGGAATGTGGGACACAAAGGTGTGTCTGATCAGTGTAGCTCTCTTGTTATGGTTTACATGACCTGTGTCTTGGAATTGTCCTAGTCTCAGGAATACATCTCACCCAAAAATTGCTATTCATCTAAATCTATGATTTGGTTTCTTGGCAAAACACCAATTTGGTGATGAATAACAATAATCTAAGAAAAGCTTGCAATCTTTTCTATATCTGGCCCTGATCTCCTTTCCATTCTTTATATTCTTAGGTTGCTCAGAGTGCTAAGAACTTACAGTGCCGAGTCTTTGATAAACATCTGTCGAAAATAATAATGAGTCATATGCACGTGCACACACAGATACATACATACAAATGAAGAGATTTCCATTGCTTTTTGAACTTTCAAATTTAACTGGTGTGTTGCAACTTTAAAAATATCATTCCCTTGAATGTTGCTAGGAATGTTCAAATAGAAAATAGATTTCCTTGACCCTTTGTTGTTTTCCCACAGGATTGAAAAAACGTACAAGGAAGGCCTTTGGAATACGGAAGAAAGAAAAGGACACTGATTCAACGTATGTACTTTGGGAGAGCACAACTGCTCAGGAGCAGCTGAGGGACCACACGTGGCTGTGTGGAAATGCAGATCTGGTGTGGTCAGCTGCACATCAGAATAAAGAGCCCATTAAAACCCTTATTTGGCTAGAATCCCTGAAAGAAAGTTAGAAAATGGGGAAGTCAACAGTTCTGTGGACACAGGTGAAACCGAAGAGGGCTACCTTTATTTCTCACCTTTAGCTTTTCATTCTGTACATTTTTATCATGCATAAATTTTAGCACAAGATCCAAAACCTGCTCTGTGTCTTTGTCATCCAAGAACTCATAAATCATGGGATAAAACATCTACCATACCAAAGAAATACCTTTCACATAACAAAATGTGATAACATAGTTGAAATGCCTCGTATGGTACCTAGAACTTAGAAATGCTTAGTAAATGGCAGTGGACGCTGGTCTGATTCTTACTAATACAAATTAATATGTGGTAAGTTCCTTATGAGCAATTAAAAATGAAATTTCATGGAAATTTGAGGGTGGGTAAACTCATGTTTGGACAGATGATGAGTGAAATCTCGGAGAGGGAGGAGCCTTGACTTTGGACTTGGGAGAAGATGAAGACATGCATCTCATGCAAAGGGAACAACAGCCAAAGCAGAGAGGTGGAAAAGTCAAGTAGGTATTGAGGACAAGATAGCTAGAACAGTTTGTCCACCTGATGGCTAAAGGGGAAGGTGGGGATGGGAGGCAAAGCTAGGAAGGACATCAGGGCCAGATAGAAAGGTCTTTAAGGGCCAGGCTGAGGTGTCTGGGCTTCCTTCCTTAGGCAAGGAGCAACATTGAAGCCTTGAAGGTTTTAAACCAGACAGTGCAAAGAGTTTTGTAAGGGGAGGAAGTTATTTTTTTTGCCTAAATCTCACATGTTAAAATCTCCTGTTCTTACCTTTTCTTTGTGCTTTTCTTTGGACAAATAATTATTTCATAGAAATTACATTGACCCTAGTTTTGCAAATTTTTCAAATGATTGAATTAGGAATGTATTTCTGAGAATTATATAATCTCCAGTAGTTCTTAAGAAATTGCCATTGTCTAAAAATTAACCAACCAGAATTGGTGATGGTATTTTCACCAGGAGCAGAAGACTGGGGCTCTAGTTCCAGCGCTGCCCATAGCTCCTTGGCCTTCGGGAACGATTTTCCTTTCCTGGGCCTCAGTTTACACTAGATGGAATCTGATTCCCCTAAAGGGCCAGACACTGTATCAGTTCATCTCTCAGAGACATCTGTCGTCACCTATCATGTGCCATGTCTTGTGTGGGACACTACTGAACACATCTCAGGAGAACGTCATTAGCAAACACCAAACCATTTTTCTTTGAAGGCAGTGTCTGTAATGGACCACACATAGTCTCTGCTGTGTGAAGAAAGTTCAAAAGGAAAAAAAAAATCTCCCTCAAAAGGGGAAAGGAGTCAAACAACCTCCCCAGGGCAGGCTGGGCTAATTTGCAAGTGACCAAAGCATTGCTCTTCATCATCATTTCTAAGGGTGTGAAAATAAGGAAGTTATTCCTCATGGCTTTGGGTAGACACCCCATATCTCTCTGAAGCACTCCATCGAGACATGTGCTTGTAGAATCCTAACCATCTCTTCTTAGCTTCTTATCATTTGAGCGCCCCAGCTTACTTATATTATAGCAAATTAGCCATCAACTAGTTCTACCAGCCATGATGGTCAAAGGACAGGCTGTTTAGTGTAAACCTTTGCTTCTTATGAACCCCTGCTCCCTAATTGGGTCATACATCATTCTTGCAAAAGGCTGGGAAGATGTTCCGGCAATTTGCTGTCCCTTCAGCTTTAGGCAATGCTTCTGTTTGCCTGCAGTCATCGAAAGCTTGTTGATGCAAACTGTTCTCAGGACTGTCGCAACTCCGTGAGGGTTGCCAAGCAACCTGCTACTGTTAGGGCCAACTATAGCTGATTGAACCCCCTTAGATAGACAGTGGGCTTAGGACCAGAGCTTCCTGATTTGATCATCGTTACAGTGTCCGATAGAGGAAAGGAGAGAGCTTCTGCTAAGTGGCAGGCGCTGTGCAGGGTATTTTCTATGCACTGATATCCCTTTTAATCCTCACAGTGATTCAATAAGGTCAGAAGTAATATCTCAATTTTAGAGATGAGAAATCAGTGCCAAAGGGAATAGGTAACTCTCTGAAGACTATGTGGAAAATAAGACTGGGAGCCAGTATTCTAGTCCAGCATCAAGTGCCCATTCCTTATCACCCAGAAAAAAAAGACGAGATGGGCAAAATTATCATCAAGACCAGTAGCAGAGTAAAGAGAAGCGGCACTGGTTGCCAGGGGTAACTGACACTTCTTAAAATAGAGACAAAGGGCCCATGATAGATGATTAGCTTTAAAAGAGAAGTCAGGAAATATGAGGGGTCTGCTGTTAAAAAGAGAAAAAATATTTAAAAATATATCTAAAACTTCGTAAGAGGGGGTGAGGAAATGAATTGAAACACGTTCAAGAGTCTGAGACTGCTAACATCGCTCTACTCCCCATCCTAGGTCAGATTGTATCTTAATTTTATTCTAGATAACATTTCATGAGTATTTACTATATTCTAGGCACTATTCCAGGCTCTTCACTCCTATTAACTCACTGAATCCTTTAATAGGCCCATGGGGTACATGCCAATTTCATGACTATTTAGTAGATGAGGAAACTGAGACACGAAGGGGTAAAACGACTTGCCCAAGGTGAGGCAGTTAGGCCTCTAGGTTGATTGAATCCAGGCAGTCTGGCACCACAGCCAGTGATCTTCACTGCCACTATGCTAGCAAGCACCAGCCCCATCCCATCAGTGGTTAAGACAAAGGCAGAACAGGACCCAATGCTGCCATGTACAATTACAGTGTTTCTGATTCAAATTTTTGAAATGCCATCCTTATAGTTGCAATATGTATGAGGTCAAGTGGCCTCTCATTTAAATCCCCTACGGATATACCCTCGTACCTGGACCAATAGTGGGCAATGCCACAGCCAGGCCTTTCTCCAGAGCCTGGTCTTCTCTACATCTACGACTTGATGCCTGCAAAGACATCCCCACAAGGATCAGTGCCTTTGGATATATCCTACCCCAAAGTTGATGCAATCACCTCTCTCTCGATTCATTTAGCACAGGTTTACTATCCGAGTAAGAAGTGCTCTTTTTTTTTTTTTTTTTTTTTGTAGTGTATAGATCTGAAAAGGGAAAGCTGGTTTTGAAGAGTGTGTCAGTACCTTTTCTCTGTGCTTTCTATCCAACCTGGGCTTATTGTGGCCATGGTAACCCACTGGATGTACTCGCCTGTCTCAATCTTTTTATGATGAGCATGTCTTCATTATTTCTATCCCCTGATTCTAGTCTAGTGCCTGGCCCATTATAAGCACTCAATATTTGTTCAGTGAATTATAACTTTTATCAATTTTTATCTTCCTACCTTTCTATTTAGGTGAAATTTCTTTGAACCAACTAATTCCCAGAGCCAGGTCAACTTCCAAGGGTCTTTTAATATCTGGGTCCTCTCTGCTTCTAGCCCATGTGTCACTGATTCGCCTCTGCATCCACATGGACACAGAACTGGTTATGAAAAATGATGTACCCCCCCACATGTTTTGTAATCCAAATGGAATATCCTGCTGAATTTGAAGGGGATGTTAGTGGGAAAGGGGAATCACATCTTGGAGCCCAGAAGATGTGCCACCCACTCTCTGCATCTCTCTTTCTTTCTCCCTCTTCCTCGCTCCCTCTCCTCATTCCTCCGCCCCACCCTATGAATCAATAAGGAATGTTATTACCTGGTCCCACATCCTAAAGAACAGTTTCAGCCATATTAAACTCCACAAAACTTCAGAGTTTACCTCAAGCACTCACTAAATTTTTCTTCCAAACAATGCAAGTCCTCATCTAAACAAAATTCTGATCTCCATGTTAATAGAATGACATTTTTCTAGCTCCTTACAGAGTGAACTAAAATAGGAAGTTATAAAGTGACGGTGATTACCTTCTCACTTCTCCCTTCCTCTGGCGCCTCCAGTTCAGTTTCCCAGAGTAACAGTCGTATTACTTGCTAGGAAGTCTAACGTGACTGCGAGTGGTCAGTTTTGTGTTCTCAGCGAGGAGACATCCTGAAAGAGGAAAAAAATGATAAAAAATGAACAATTGTATGTGTCAGGAACTAATTATAAGTTCTTTATATACGTTATCTTATTTAAACAGGGCTTAGAGAGATTAGGTAATGTATTCAAGGTCACAGAACTAATAAGTGATGGAGTCTGGATGCCCAGATTCGTCCTACTCTAGAAGCCTTACTCCTAATCACCCTTACCACACAGTGTCACCATGGATTACCTATCCTGGACTTTGGTCATCAGTGTGAGCCTTTTAGCAAACACTGTCCTCCATTTTCTGCTCTCCTATAATTAAAGGAACAGTAAGTATAGAAATAGGGAAAAAAAAAATACAGATTCTCAAAGTGAATAGAAAGATACCATAGGAGTTCCTTTCTATAGGGGGAAATTCAAGACCACTCTCAGGGGAGAAGATGAGAGAGGACAAGTCAGTTTATGTTCCTCGTGGTAGTTTAAATGGAGACAGCTGGGTGGGACAGACTCTTAAACTTTCCTCTCAAAAGTGGACCACGACACGGTACCAGCAACGTGTGCTGTTTGGACACCGGCTTTTAATGAGAATCTGCACTCCCCCACCCCCACCCCACACACAGACACACATCCCATACTCAAATATCATTCAACAAATTTGTTTTGATTTAGTTTTCATTAGCTGGGTTCACTGGGATGGGAATGCAGGAAAGGGTGAGAGAGGTGGTTTGTGAATCTTATTGTTGTGCGTTAGTCTATGTAGCAAGAATGATTCCTTTTCCTAATAGCTACCAATTTCTTTTTTTACAGAGGTTCACCAGATAGAGATGGAATTGTAAGTATTTAAATGACCATTTTCAGTAGGTTTGCACTTCAGTATATACTATGTTGAAATTTCTTAAACCCCCCCCCTTTTTTTTCTGTTGGGAAAAAATAGCCTAAATGACTTTTTAGACCTCATGCTGTTGTAAAATTCTGTAGTAATTGAATGGGACATATAAATGCAGTCTTGGTCAAGTTAAACTTACTTATTGCATTCACCTAAAACCCTGCCCCAGACTAGGCGAGCAAACCTCATCGATATGGTGGGTTAGAAGCCAGACAGTTCCTGCAGGGGCTGCTACCATTAACTGTTATTTCATTTCCAATTCAATGATATAAAAACTTATTATGTGAGAATGTTTTTCTCCAACAGAGGCCACAACGTCATAATGGAGCTGAGATCCAATAAAACTGAAAGAAGCTTTTCCCCTTTAGTTGAGTTGTAGATACATTTTCTATATTAAATTCCTAAGTAGGGAATGGTCTTGAAACCACTTATGCCTGAATTTACAACCTGAAGGAAGAAAGTGTCTCCACTGGGTTTAGGCTTAACAGTAACTCTGACTCCTTGTTAGCCACTAGATTTCTTGCCTTTTTAAAAAGTCTGTTGCACATGGGCTTGGACTGATCTGAGTTGAGCTTATGGGAGTCTGTACCAACTTCTAAAATGACTTCCTTCGAATCTAAATCAGATGCCTATTCAGAAGGTTCCAAAGAACAGCTGTTACTGAGAAAAAAATGGGCTCACATTAGGCTCATTGGGCTGGAGTGGGGACTAAAATAAATCTGGTGGTTAAAAATATGTATTTTTTGGAAAATCGCCCTTTATATTATTATACCCAAATTGAGGTGTTAGTTGCAGCTATCGCAGAAGATCTTCTTCCACACTTGACTCAAGGTTCGGAGCTTTGGGGTCCCTTTTGCATTCATGTAGTTCTCGCCATGAAATGTTAAGAACATAGACTGAAATTGATCAGACATTGGGTAACACTATAATCAAGGCTCTATTCAGCAGGGGAAAAAAAAGACCCAGAAGACTCAGCTTCTCCTCACCTCTTGCTTCTGGCTCAGAGCCCTCTCGTTAACTCTGTCTCAGGTACTCTCTGCTTCTGTGTCTTCTCTCTGCTTCTGTCTTGGTCCCCTCCTGGGTTCTCTCATCCCCTTCATTCTGACCTCGGCAAGCCTCCGTTAGCTATTCTCTGTTTTCTGTCCCTGCTATTCCCAGGCTGGACTGCTGTCTCCTGCTTCTCTCGCTCTGCCACCCTCAGGCTTGTCCTTTTTTCTCTGAAGCCCATTCCCTCCTGTCCTACCCACCTCCTCATCCCCTAGCCCTTCATTGTCTCTGAGGCCCCATTGCTACCTCAGTGTTCTTTGCTCTTCTAGGGACCACCCGTTTAATTCTCTGGTAGAATACGCAGCCCTGGCATGTAGGTACAGTCCTGGCATGCAGTTGGCCATTATGAGTATGCGCTGCATTAAAGAGCCCAGCCGTGATTCTGCAGGCGCATGGACACTACGTCAGGGCTCCATACCCGAGTTCCCTGAGTTCTCTTTCTCCGCCACCATTCCAAGTCATATAAAGTTATTTATCGACCATTGTCCCCTCCTTGTCCCCTAATTGGAAATGCCGTAAATATCACCGGTCATGATTTTAGGAAAAAAGAATTGCTTAATTTTGATTTCTTAGGAAATAAAGCAGACCTGTTTGGAAAAAAAAAAAAAAAAGGCTCCATTCGAAATAAATGCCATGTTCTCAGAAGCAAGGTGTACAGCTTCCTAGGTAACTGGAAATTATTAGGCAGCTGCTAGTTTTACCATTTGGAAATACTCCCCAAATATTCCTTGTTTACTGGGGTCACCAAATTTTGAGAACTCCTTATCACATCAGTGCTATAGGAGGCCAAGTTTCTGTTTGCATTCAGTCCTTGGAGATCTCAATCTGACTTTCTTTCAAACTCAGACTGATGTCTTTAATGCCTTATGTCTGTGAACCCAGACACACTTTCTTTTACCTTTTACCTGGCTGACTGAGCTTCCAAATTACTGTCTTTTGAAAAGTATCTGAAGCTGAAAGGTATGGTTTCACTGATGTGGTTCGCAAACTACAGGTGATGGTGCACACGCTTAAGGCTTATAAATGGCTTTGCAATAAGTTCAATGTACTGATGCTTATTTAATTTGTTTCTCAAAACTTAACGAAGCCCATCGCTGGTGACAATGCTTTTGAGGGGTAGTCTACAGAGGCTTCGTGGCAGGGCTGCATGTATGAAGGCGGGCTCGCCTTGCTCCCCACTGGTGAATGTGATCCCCAGCAGAGCTGCCTGTCATGATGTGTGAGACTTCAGGCAGCTGCGTGTGACAATGCATTCTAACCCACAGACAAACTCTACTTTGTGCAGGATGCACTCAGACTTTTTCCTAAGCAGTTCAGATTTCCATCCACACAGACTGGGGGCACAGGGATTCACAGCCATGGCTGGGAGGAGATCTCTGCTCATCCCGAACACGTGTGCAGGAAAGGGCCCAGATTTGGCGCTGTCAGCTGTAGACGCTGTACGTATTGCCAACCCTCAGCAAGGCTTTGATAAAGGGGAAGATACGGTAGAGCTAGACTTGTCAGACTTCTTTTTATTGGAAATATAAGCATTTTTATTGGGTCTCTTCGGTGTGTCCTCGTGTCTGTTCTCTACCTAAAAATTAAGTGCTGGCTGAATGAGGACTAGATCCACAGAAAACCTAGTGCCTGGGATGCATTTCCTTCTTCTCCCTTCTTCTCCTGGCCTAGCCACACTGGCCTGCTGAATAGAGCCTCATTATGGGCCCCAAAGTCCACTCTTTGCTTAAGGAACCCTGCCAAGATTGGTAGGCCCTAAGATTTGGCCTAGAAATTGTTTCTTCTATGGTATGCTTGCTGACTCCATGTGATTCTTTATATGTGTCTTGAAGAACAAACAGATCCTTTAACAACTTTTTTCTACATGAAAACAATCAATTCCAGCAGCCCAGCCCACATGAACCACCCTACAATAACAAAGCAGAGTGTGCGCGTGAAGGAGGAAAAAAAGTTTCGGTAAGGAAACAGATTTTAGTTTAAAATTTCCAAGGGGTTGTAGAAACAGTGAGTAAAATCCCAATTTGAAATTTGGAAAAAAGCAGTAGCATTTATTTAATCAATTTAAGAAGACTTTCTTAGGTATTTCCAAATTACTCTTGAATATCCAGGACCAATTTTTAAATCAGCCATATAGACCTTATATATTGACGTCGGAAAATACTTTTAAAGAGTGATCGGGTATAAAAAGATATGTGTTTCCTTTGTCTTAGATAAAGGACAGGGACTCAATTTTTTAAAATAATATGCTATCTGTAAGAAAGCTTTGGCTATAATATAAACATCACCTTACAAAATGAGTAGTCATTTGTGAGGATAAGCACCATCTCAGTAACATCAGGAATTTGGCAGGACCTTGGCTTGTGGGAACCAATACACTTGACCAAAGGATGGTGAGTCAGGGATGCTGATCCAGGCCCAGACTATATGGCAGCTATTGCTGGCTTGTCCAATATGGTAGCCACATATGCCTATTCAAAATTCAGTTCCTTGGATGCACCTGCCACGTTTCAAGTACTCTATAGCTACTTGTGACTGCTGGCTACCATGTTGGACAGCACACATATAAAATATTTTCATCTTCACAGACAGTTCTATTGAACTGTGCTATTTTATAGGATTATTTACAAAGTGAGTCAAGTCTTGCCCCAGTGGCAAGAAGATAATATTTAGGTAGTATATCATGTATCTTTAATACTTTATGTCCAAGGAACACTATGTGGCCATGAGCTGACCTTGGAAAAGAGGAGCATTCACAGTGGAAATTGAGAACTTTGATGAATGTACAATTGAACACAATTGTTACTACATTTATTGGTTTAGCCCATCAATCTGAGAGCAGATAATAAGCCTGGCTAAAGTAAAATACCTATTAAAGCATGACTAACATTGATATGAGCCTCAATTATCTTTAAATAACAGTCATATATTCAAATTAGAAAAGTTGCTTATGCTAATGTAGAGTTTTAGAAAATACAGAAAAGAAAGAAATAAAAGAATACACAGCTTCAGCTCCCAGAGAAAAATCACTGTTTATGTGTTAGTGAATATCCAGTATTGCTTTTACTATGAAGCCTAGTTTTTAAATGATATTTTCCTATTTATATTCTTTCTTGCTTCCTCAGTGTTTTCCAACTGAAAGTCAAAAGAGCCATTACCTTCCCTATTACTACTATGAGCTGTTCCTTGCTTCAGTGGTTTAACCAGGAGAATTGCTTTTTTCTTGGGGTTTGACCAGAAGAATTTCAGCGAGGCTCTAGCCAAGCTTTAACTTGATAATTTCCACTTGTGAAACCAAATATATCTGTAATAATCTGCTACCATGAATGAGGCCAAATTGTCAGTTCCTCTGATAAAGCCATGTGTGTTCGCTGCTATCTGCCCAAGAATGTATTGTTTATGATTTGTTGTTTGTGTTTGGTATTTGTGTTAAAAATATTCCTAGTTTAAAAGAAATTTTCTTTTTATAGGTTTTACTTTCTCTTCATCTCAATCTTCTATATCAGTTTCCATGGAAACTGGGAAGTTTTCACTCAGCCCAGATCTAGAAAATTCAGGAACTTTTATTCATAATGTTGAATATGTGTTCTCAGGAAAGATACACACATACACACACATACACACACTTATTTATTTATTTAGCTGAACATATAAACTATCTGGGTTGTAAAGGGCTTTGGTTATGGAGGCGAGACTATTATAGAAGCAAACTGGAATTTTGAACTCAGTAATTCACCTAATCTGTTTGGTTTTTAGATAACAATCCTTTGTATTGAAGAATTGTTTAAGAACCAAAAGGTATATTAATAGTGGTACTACAGTGATCACAAAATTCATGGGTTTAGTTCTTTGGAATCAACTTAGTTCATTTGATTTCCCATTATTATAAATTAAATTTGTATATTGAATTTATTAATATACTTGTTAAAGATTTGGAGAATTTTGCAAAGAAGTCATATGGAAACAGATTGGTAAAGTAGGAATTAAAAAAGAAAGCAAATATGACAAAAAGAAAATAGGAACCATGCCCATTCTCCATGGGAGAGATTTTTTTATTATTAGATAGCACATTATGTAATGAACCATGTCGTTAACTCCATAGCTTATAGAGGTACAAGATTGATGTGGCAGGTTTTAAAAATGCCCTTTGTTCAAAGTAGGGAGAGTATCACCGAAACACTAACTCAATAAAGGCAATTCTGTGAGAAGGCTAAAATGATGTAGTCTGACAAAGTATATAATCTTTGCCAGGAGCAAAACAAAGAAGAAGAGGGTCACAGAGCCTATGCTCCTGGGTGCTGGAGGCATGGCAGAAGTCTTGTATTTGTACACTCTAGTGTACAGGAAGGGAGGGGCATGGACGTAATATCTACGCTTTACCCACTATTCACCCTCACGAAACTGCTGGTTCTTAGAATGCCCAGTCCAACATCCAATAAATACTGACCAATGACGATGGTTACTAGGTTGCCTCTAATTGGCTTTCTAGCGCTACGCGTACACGAAAGGCTTACTTCTCCTACCTATTTGTCAAATTAGGTGTTAGCTGTTCCCATTGTAGTTCCAGTGGACTTTATCTGTGATTGTAAAATCGGAAGTCCTGTCCTCACACCTCATGCTTCACCATTTGATATGTGCTGTTCTGAGACCTGCTAGTGCTCGGTGACATACCATTGTTCCATGTGCTAAGTACGGGAATGTTGTTGAATGGACTCTCCATTACCAACCTGGTTTGTGTTTTTGTCCTTTGCTCACAAAAAGTAGGGAATCCTAGAAATTTCTATTTGTATGATGCCACATCCTTGCTCAAGTGCTTGTGGCCATTATCATGATTGTTCTAGGTGCTAAAATAGAACTTGAATAGAATCCAGAGAGAGTAATGCTGATATCTAGTCATCTTTCGATGATGTAGCCTTATGGAGGCGTAGAACACACAGATGACAGAAATCCACAATCAATCCTTGAATCCTATTTTAATAACTTGATAAGAAAAGCCACTTGAAAAGAAGATCAACACTATTTTTAATACCTAGAAGCTGAATTAATTTGGAGTTCATTTCCTTTACATTCTAGCAAGGGGGTGGTTAGGGAAAAGTTGAGTCAGTGTTAGAAAAGCTAAAGGAGGATTAGTTAATGACTTGAATACTCTTTAGACATGTTGGAACTAATTGTATATGAGAGCAACATAGAAGTCAAAATCTTAGAGAGAGATATATATATCTGATTATATCCCCTGAAGGTATAGAAGATTAAATTATAATGTAGGTACTTCTGATTTTACTGAATAAAATTTGAATAGCTAGCTGTTACTGTCCCTGTGCTTAGGTATCCTACAGTCTTTTGTGAAAATAAGTACTTAAGCTCTTTTATGCAGTGTCACGGCAGCTCAATTAACCATTCAGTTACACCGATGTGGTTGCTTAATAGGCTGCTCTAATTTGTCTTTCCAGTGCTGGATTTTGATAGCTCTTGCTAAATACAGATAAGAGTTAAGTGTTCTTTGTTCCATTTTTTTTTTAATTCAAATGTTTCTCTTCTAAATTTATTTTCAAATTTATTGCAGAAGAAAAGCAATGGGGCACCGAATGGATTTTATGCGGAAATTGATTGGGAAAGATATGTGAGTATCAGAAGATTGTTTTTCTTTATTATTTCACTATTTGAAAATGACTTGAAACATTCTTATAATACAACATAGAAATAAGTGAACATTCTCTGTCTCATTAGGAAGTGCCGGGCACACTTAGGGTGGTATAGAGGTTAAGAGCACTAGAGTCTATTACACTGGGTTCAAGACCTAGCCCTTCCATATGTCAGCTGTGTATGGCTTTGGGATGGTTGTTTGCTGACCAGCAGAAATGAGGTCAGTAGTTACTTTAGAACGTTGTTGAAAGAATTCAATGAGCTAATTATTTGAAGGTTATTTCAGTACCTGCCTAGCCTGTGATATGTGTTTTTAAAAATGCTTTTTAAAATATTGACTCCAGATTTTGCCATCCTGGTTCTTTTTCAAGTCAAGTCAAGGTAACCTCTGGGGTTTGGTTCCATGGTGTCTTAGTCCATTCAGGCTGCTATAACAAAAATACCATAACTTAGTGGCTTGTAAACAACAAAAATTTATTTCTAACAGTTGTGTAGGCTGCGAAGTCCATGGTCATGGTGCCAGCAGATTTGGGGTCTAATGTGTCTGGTTGAGGGCCCACTTTCTGGTTCGCAGATGGCACCTTCTAGCTGTAACCTCACTGGGGATCTCTTTTGTAAGGGCACTAACCCCAACTGTGATGGCTCCTCCCCAATGCCCTAATCACCTCCAAAAGGTCCCACTTCCTAACACCATTACTTTGGGGTTAAGATTTCAACGTATGAATTTGGGAGGAACACAAACATTCAGACCATAGCACAAAACAATTACTAGAGCCTCATGGTACAAACTTTTCCCAGGTCAAGTGGCAATCACTTGATGCTTTCAGGGAGTGAGGGTGACTCTCATCTGAGATCTAAACTCTCCACCTGATTCCCCCGGAAACTGATTTACATCATCAACATCCACTTCACCAACCACAACAGGACAGCCACAGTCATTCTTGGGTTTTTAATCATATAAAATATGTAGATCATATTCACATCAAAGATCACTTCTGTTGTATAGCAGGTGCCCAAATTCACAATTCCTACAAAATGCTTTTGCACTTATATCCATTAGATGAATGTCTTGACCCAACCTCTCCTATCATAAAAGTTAATCTTGATGTTAAAGCTTTTGTATATTTCTTAGTAATAATTTTATTTTTACAATAAATAATTGAATATTCACTATTAGTCAGTCATAATATTAAATGCTGTGGAATCCTTACCACCTTAAAAATCAAATACATTATTTGCATTTCATAGAAAAGAAAGCTGAGGCTCAGAGAGGTTAAATTCTCAATACCTCCCCACCCCTCCACTCTAAAGCGTGTCACTCTGCCAAACTCATCACCTGATCTTCTCATATCTGTTTCCCAGGATTGGGATCTTTTAGATATTTTTAGCAGTTCAGCTCCCTAAAATCTATGCCAGTTCCCATGTTACCCTAAATTCAAATAGTTCACAAATAATGTTATAAGGGAAACTACTAAATATTAAGAAAATGTGATTTATTTTCCCAGAGTTAATCTGTCTTTACCTAGAAAGACTTTTGTTGTATTGTGTAGGATTCTTTAATACACAGAAATGGAATACTCTAAGCAAACAAGAAGTATGACAATAAAAATACCAAATTACTCATCAAATCACCTATTACCCCATCTAAAACCTATACTCTAGTGCTATCCCTTGTCAACATGTGAATCCTTAAATGAAGCATAACTTCGCTCATATTTGTTCAGTCCTGAAAACTAATTAGGTCACATAGGAATTGTTGTGGTAATTCTACATTAGACACCACTTTCTCTAAGTTATAAGAAAGGTTTTATTCTTTTTTTTTTTTAAAGATTTTATTTATTTATTTGAGAGAGAGAGAATGAGAGAGAGCAAGCACATGAGAGGGGGGAGGGTCAGAGGGAGAAGCAGACTCCCTGCCGAGCAGGGAGCCCGATGCGGGACTCGATCCAGGGACTCCAGGATCATGACCTGAGCCGAAGGCAGTTGCTCAACCAACTGAGCCACCCAGGCGCCCCAAGAAAGGTTTTATTCTTAAAAGATGATGTCATCTTGCTTTTGACAGAGAAAGGTGAGAAAGGGAAGGCCCGGGGAGGATGTGACCTTTAAGCAGAGCCCTTAAGTATGGGAGGGGTTCACTGGCTAAACATTTGAAGGAAGAGAATTCCAGGCGGAGAGAATGGCATTTATGAGGACCCTGAAAGGGGAAAGTGCTTGCATATTCAGACCATAAACGTTAACAATGGCAGGAAGACCGTGCAGCTGAGGGGCATCAGGGAAGGGGCTCTCAGACCTGAGCCAGGGCCGTGGGCCACACAGAAGCACTGGGCATTTATTCTAATTTCATAGAAGTTAGTGAGAAGCCAGGGACAAGGTTTTAGCAGGGAAGTGACCTCAATACAGTTGCATTTTTGAAAAAGTAACCTTGAGTACTGAAGAAGGACAAGAGGGAGACAATGAATGCTTAGGAAATGGTGGCTTTTCCATAGCATTCAGGCCTTCTTTCTCTCCATGGTCATGGCATTTTCATCACTTCGGTGACTCCACAATCTCTCCTTCCGGCTCTGTCCTTTCTCACTTCCAGGCCTATAACTTCACCTTTAAAAGGGTCGCCCTTGAATGGCTTCACCTTCATCCTTTCTAGGGCATAGGGTGTAGTCTCAAACACCTGAAGTCAAGGCACACAGGTCTGCCGTTTGCTGGGTGTGTGTCCTTGAGGAATGGCATCTCATTTCTCTTACTTTCCTCCTTGGTGAATGGGATAGTTCTTTCCACGTGGGATTGTTATGAAGGTTCAATAAAATAAAGTGTGTGTTATAGTACTTACCATATAATAGGAACTCAAAGATGATAATACTAATCTCAATCATGCAAACTCTCTTTTATCCTTCCTCCCTTTGAAAACGTTAGTTGTCTGCTGTTACAATTAGTTCAGTCAGGAATACCAGCAGTGTCCCACGATTTGAGAATAGAAATCTTGGGGTCTTCTTGACCCTTCCCTCTCCTTTTTCTCCCATGACAGACAGATGTTACAAAGAACTAAGCTTATCCTTACAAAAGTCCTTGATTCATCACTTCCCACCACCACCAACGTGGTCTCGTATTCTTAGCATATCTTCCCTGAATTGATACAAGTATTTTGAATGAGATTTCTTTTCTCCAGTTTCTTCTGCTCACAGTCTATCCTGAAGCATACTTCCAAATCACCTTCAGAAGCCACTTTCTACCCTGACTGAGAAGCTGCAGTAGCTACATCAAGTTTGAATCCTTCCTCCAGCACGTTGGCCATCCGTGGTCTTATGTCCGATGTTCTCCCTCTGTGCAGCTTCCATTCCAGCCAGTTGTTTGCATTGTTGCCTCTCCCTTCCCCCATCTGAACCATGCCGTCCATTCCTACGTCAGTGTCTCAGCACAGCCTCTTGTTTACTGCTGCCTCCCCTCTGCCCTCTTTACCTGTCCTGAGACGCACAGGCAGACCCCTCGGATTCTTTCAAGCTTCATTAACTTCCTCTTCCTCCAGACTCCTATCACTGATGATTTGTGTTTTATATTTCACTTTTTCAAGTGTTTTGCCTACCAAAATACCTTTCCATTTTCCAGAGGAGAAATAATTTGCCTTTTGTCTTCCCCCATGTTGCTTAGCACAGTCCTTGGCTTACAAGAAACGCATAAGAAATTATCTTTGAATGTTTTCTTTCATTGACAGTGGATTCCTAGTTTGTTTTTCTGATAGGAAGACTCTCCGAGTATCCTTCAGTAAATATCTACACATATACTGCTCAGCATTCACTTCCAAAGGTTAAAATCCTCACCTTCTAAAATAAGAGACATATCCATATCTTTAAATAGAAGTCTCTAGAAGGAAAATGAACAGTTCCTTGACTATTGTCAGACTAATAAATGCTTAATCTGTGCTTGTATTTTGTAGAACTCTCCTGAGTTGGATGAAGAAGGCTACAGCATCAGACCCGAGGAACCCGGCTATATCCTTTCTTTATTTTAATCTTTATTTTCTCTAAGAAAATGCTATGATAAGTTCAGATTTTGAAAAGGTGCTGAAATAACCCAAGCTTCCCGACTCCTGTCATCCCTAATATTAGAAATGAATAAACAGCACAGAACAGCCTGATCGCTAACAAGTAGGCATTTTGTCTTGATCTATTCATAGAAAAGAGAGAGTGGAGAAACAGAAAAATGTGCTGAGAAACAATTGTGCAAACCACGGGTACTGGGTTGTCTGCTAAAACCTGATATGACCATGTCACTTACCATGGCTAGAAAATAACTCTCACCTGTGCGCTCCCCACAAACCAGCTCTGGGCAGAGCATCTCTGAATCACTGAAATTCCTCAGGAATTGTTCCCGAGAGTGGCTTTCCTCTCTCAGTGGACGGGGAAGCTCACATGGGCTGTCAGTGTTTGTGCTGAATGGGACATCACAAATGGCCACCCGCAGCAAAAATGTAGGACATTAAACTATGGCTCCTGGAAATTCACCATCCTTAATCATGTTCCAAGGAAAGGTGAACAAATTTGAACGCTTTCTTGATTTTCTCTTTTATTCGTCTGTGTATTTTGCTTTGATTTTCTGCCATCTAAGGATACCTTTGCTGCCTCTATGTGCAAGCACTCTTGTCTTATACTCAGCATTGCTTTTCCCAGTAGGAAAAAGAGTTACGTATCTTTAACTGTGTTCTACCTACCAAAGGAAAGCACTTTTATTCTTCGAGCGAATCGGAAGAGGAAGAAGAATCCCACAAGAAATTTAATATCAAGATTAAGCCATTGCAATCTAAAGACATTCTTAAGAATGCTGCAACTGTAGATGAGCTGAAGGCGTCCATAGGCAACATTGCACTTTCCCCATCACCAGTGGTGAGTGGTTTTATGTCGAGTTTTGGCGAGTCTGGACAGACAGCTGTGTTCTGCCCAGACGTGTTAAGTAGATCAGAAACTCTAAGCTAAAGGCTGCATATGGTTACCCTTTTATGAACTTTGTAAACCTTAAACAGCTCATTCTGTTTTAGAAAGTTATGCTGATTTTATATTGCAGTTCTTGTGCTTTTCAAAATGGTAGAAATGCATGGGACCACATTTCTTTTTGACTTACTCTCCTGTAAGCATTTGAAAAAGAAACAAAACATTGTTTTGTTTTGGTATATAGAAATATACCAATTTCTACAATTTGTTCTCCATTCCCCCAGTTCCCCTCTGCTACACTTCTGCAGCTGCTGAATTCTGAGTTCCAACATGTACACTATTTTCTCAGTGGTGTTTGATAAATGCTACAACTATTTTCTAAAAGTAGCTGTGAAGAGTAGATGAAGGTTCTCAAAGGAGCAGCTAATATGTTCTTGGCATCTTCTTCAGAAAGATGTGATCTTCCTACAGCATCCTCCCTGAAAGAGGTAGTTAATAAATGCTGGACCATTTCTGAGATGATTTTAAAAATATGTCAGCTAAACTTTCTAGAGAAGTTGTAATCATCTATCCTTTCAGAATAAATATTTGTCTGTTTGGGATGAATAAAATCTATAATGATGCCTTCTTTAGAACTTAGGGCTTATAATGGCCTTTATCACTACTGTTAGTGATGAATACAATAATTGCTATCAGTAATCAACCACCGGAAATGATATTTCAGGTAATTTTTAATCATATACTCACTTGGTATTTCAAGGTGTCTCCCTGGAAAAAAAGAGGCATGAAATATATTAGTTTTCTTTCCATTCTGCAATGGAAAGTACAGATTTTAAACTCATAGGTTGGCCTGTAATACCAGTGATTTCTAGTTAGAGGAGCATTTTAAATGCATACACTTTCACTTTTCAGTTGACGTCTTTCAAATCATTTTTCACTTACTGAATTGTTGTTTTTTTTTAATTAATTGTAGAAATTTATCTAAACGCCTGAAACCCGTTTATATTCACTTTTCTGTAGGGTCTAATACAGTTAGTGGGCATTTGGAAGTTATCTGGGGGTAAGCATCAGAAGATAAGATCATGGGATTAAATGAACAAATTTACGTGAAAGAAAACTTACTAAAACAGTTGCAGACAGGCAGTATGGATTTGCTGAAAGCAGAGGGGCATCTAGGAAAGAAGAATATATAAGCCCCCTCTATCAAAAAGAATATATAAGCCCAAGTCATCTGGGAGATATTCCTCCAACCAGATATGTTGCTGGTGGTGCAGCCAGAAGAGTGGTGGTTTACTCTGAGCTCTTCTCAACACCTATTTTTAAGGTAATGTCTTGACATGATGTGGTTAAGACTGATGAAGAGATTTTCGGGAAAGCAGTATGAAGAGTAGATGGAGACACCCAGGGAAAGTAATTATGGAGTTAGGCTGTTTCTGCATACCAACCCACCACAAACCAATGGACTCTCGGATCCGCCTACCACCACCACCCCTGCACCCCCAGCTTGCTCCCTCTAATATGAGAACCTGGCTCTGTCCTTAGTATGATTCCCAAACATTTGTGATTTTTGATGTTTAGTATAGGGGAGGGAGCTGTTATTGCTACTTTAGGGAAAGGTATGCGTGTTTCTGGATATACCTAAGTAAAAAGAGAGATTAGAACTGAAAACATATTCTTGGTTTTAGAATCCTTACCCTCTTCTAGGTAACCCATGTGTACCTATAGTTCACAAATGATATATGCAGTATGTTATCTCCAGAACCAGATAAGTAGAAAAAACCTTCTGAAATCCAGTTGGTGCCATAATAAAAATGGCAAGTCCTTTGTGCAACTTTAGATGTCTCCAGCCAGACAGTCGGACATTTATATGTCTACACTGAATTCAGGTGCAAAAAGAGAAATAGAGCCTATGCTAGTTAATAATATATCAATATATTTCACAGAGGCTACAGTTGTTATGTTACAAAAGCATCAATCATTACACTAATAGAAATAGAGGAATTTCCAAATGGTAAGCCATTCATAACAATGGCTTATGTTGGATTTCTAATTTCTATTTCTTTTAAGGAATTTTAAGATTAAGTTGTGTTTCATTTGTTCTGTTCATCCATCTGTGAATATGTATCAATGAATTGTAACCCATTTGGTTCTTATTTTATTTGAATAGTTCCCTGTACACACTACATGGTCAAATTATTCAATAAATGGATGGATGGATGGATGGATGGATGGATGGATGGATGAATGCATCATATATAACTATGTGTATATATAATATAAACCTACCTGAAAATTACTCCTCCCCAAAACAAAGCATCAACAGCATAGAAAATCAGGGTTTTAACTGTTGGCAAAAATCCCATTGTATAGACAAATAAATGTAATTTCAGTCCAGAGCTTGCCGTGGCCCTTGATTTTAATACAGAAATAAAGTGTCAGGACAAGGCAGAGCACTAAAAAAGAAGAGGGGATAATGCAAGTGTTAGCTCACAGGAAAGGATGTTAATTTCTATTCCTTTCATGTTGTGGTCTCCTAATAAGATACTGTGCTGATTGGGTGAAGAATGAATAGCACTCAGGTTTGAGTTGTTGAGTTGGTATCTGCACAAATTAGAATATTGGTAAAGCTGTTTTAACAGAGATCAAAATAGAAATGGCTTATACAAAATAAGTGGTTTACTTTTCTTCCATGTAAAAGTCAAAACTGGTAGGCACTTCAGATGGGTAATGGAGCCCTACTCCAGGCATTATTCAAGAACCCAGAAACTTTCTGTATGATTGCTCCACCTTTCTGAGGCTGTGCCTGCCTTACCACCATCAATCACCTCCATGTTCCAGCCTTGGGATGGAGGAAAGAGAAAATAAAAGGCAAGTGGTTTCCTTTAAAGGTTTTACTGGGAGTTTGCAAACATCACTACCGAAGCCATAATTTAATCACATGGCCATATTAGCTGAAAGGGAGTTTGGGAAATGTAGTCTCTGCCTGGATAGACATGTAAGCTGCTAAAATTCAGGTTCTGTTATAAAAAGACAAAGGAGCGAATGAATTGGGGTGGGCATTGACAGTTTCTGCCGCTGTGTCTTAAGTAAGTAATCTCAGATTACTTCTGGAAATTCATTAGGAAATGGATTTTTTTCCCCATTTACCTGCAAATTATTCATAGAACCCGTTGAACCCAGGATGTTTCCTTTTAAAAATTTCTAATCACTAAATTCTTTTTTTTTTTTTTTAAGATTTTATTTATTTATTTGACAGAGACAGAGATAGCGAGAGCAGGAACACAAGCAGCGGGGGTGGGAGAGGGAGAAGCAGGCTTCCCCTCAAGGAGGGAGCCCGATATGGGACTCCATCCCAGGACCCTGGGATCATGACCTGAGCCGAAGGCAGACGCTTAATGACTGAGCCACCCAGGCGCCCTCTAATCACTAAATTCTAAATATGAGTGATGCTATGCTGCGTGCTAGCCAACAGCTAATGAACAGAAACAAATTTCATTAAAATGCCAACTTGTTTGGTTGATACTGACCCTTCCAATCAGAATAATGTTTCCTCAATCTTGCGAAGTACAGTGCTTTTTGAGGCAGGCTGTTTCATTGCTGAAAGAAATTATTAAACCCAAATGCTATCGCTGTGTAACTTTTGTCCTTGATTGTAGCTGTGTTTTTAGAAGATTAACAAAGGACAAACACATCTCCTTTTCCACCTCCAAGTTTACCGTACAGGATATTTATTAAGGAGTGAGCTTGGGCTCAACTCCTGTGGGGTAGGGTGGGCAGAAGGAGAAGTTAAGCGGTGTTGCATGTCCAGCAACAGACGGAGCTGACCATACAGGGGACTCTAGAGCTAGAATGACCCTACAGAGCTGTCCTGAGTTTGACTGAGATGAATAACCTTCATACTGCCACAGCAGTCAGGACTCTGATATGGGCAAGCTAAGAAGGGGACTGACCTTGGTCGAGGTAGCCCTCTGCAGCTGAGGCAGATCCTAGAGTGTTGCACCAATAGCCCTCCTAGCAGCTGGTAAAAGAAGCTGTTTTGAAGAGAAATCTGTATAGTACCTTTGGTGTCCACTCTAAATTTTCTATACCTGACATAGGGCCTTTTGCATATCATTGTCATTCAATAAATGCTTGTGTGTGTGAGTGAGTAAACAAATGTGTGAGCTGGACCAGACCAAGGACAGAACACCGTGGCATGTCACCACCCTCTGATTTTTTATCTATTGATAACATACTGCAGTCTCCCTGGTCCCCTTACAATGGTTTACTTAACTGTGCTCTCATCCTGGTCACGTATTTCCATTTCGTTCAAACCAGTGATGGAAACTCATTAAACACAATGCTGAATTTGAGAAACATGGGATGTCTACAGCTTTGCCTAAATCTGTCAGACCAGAAAACCTATCCGAGAAAATGATGGGTTTAATTTGCCATAACTATTTCTTTGTGCTGGCACCTAGGGTTATCACCTTCTTTTCCAAGTGCTTTGTGTCTGTCTGTTTACAGAATTTTTTCTAGAATTTTGGGTTAATAGGAGGCAGCTGTGGAGTCTACAGTGTTCTACCTGTGTGACCTTAGAAAAGTTCCATCATTGTTCTGAGCTTCTATTTCCTCTTTTGTAAAGTGAGGTTAATAATAATCCTTACAGACTTTTTGTGCAGATTATTGTTGGTCTCTAGCAAGTCAAATCTTTGGCTTTCTGTACCCCATGCTTAGCACAATGCATGGCACACATTGTGCGCTCAGTTATTTAATAAATGACTAAATGCACAAAGCAAAGCATGCAGAAGATCCTAGACAGAGTACCTGATGCACAATTAGTACTTTGCAATTCTTGGCTCTTCAATATTAGTTGTGTTAGTCAGGGTTCTCCAGAGAAACAGAACCAACAGGGTGCACGTGCATGTGCGCGTGCGTGTGTGTGTGTGTGTGTGTGTGCACGCATAAAGAAATTTGTTATGAGAAATTGGTTCATGTGATTATGGATGCTAAGAAGTCACTAAATGTCGTCTGCCAAGTGGAGACCCGGGAAAGCTGATGGTGTAATTCACTCCAAGTCCAAGGGCCTGAGAACAGGGTTGCTGACAGTGTAAATCCAGATCCCAGGGCAGAAGGAGATGAGATGAGATGTTCCAGCTCAAACAGTGAGGCAGAAAAGGGGGTGAATTCCTCCTTCCTCTGCCTTTTGTTCTATTCTGGCCCTGATAGATTTGCATAATGCCCACCCACGTAGGGGAGAGGGTTTTCTTTCCTGAATCCACCCATTCAAATGCTAATCTCATCTAGAAACAACCTTAAAGACCTACCCAGAAATAATATTTATTCTGGGTACCCCATGGCCAGGCAAGTGGACACATAAAATTAATCACCACACTAGTCTATATGTACATATATGAATTTTTTAAAATCTTTTTCTCCCTTAATTGAGAATCATGGCTTTGCTTTCCCATTTTCAGTCTCCTGCCCTAAAAACGTTCTGTGTTCTCATGCTTTGGATTATAATATATCTACGTCTCAAGGCGTGAATTCAGCTAAAGGGGTTCAAGGATTTTTTGCATATCTTAGACTTTAATTCCGAACCAAACCTGATCCGCCTTTTAAAGGAACTACTTTTAAGACAGGTTTTTTTCATACTGGATATTTGTGATTGATATTTCATTAAACACAAATAGAAACTTTGTACCTACATTCCCTAAAGGAACTGGTGTATCACAGGAAAGACGCTGGAATCTGGAAGACCTGAACTGACCCTTGGCTCACAGTACTGCTGAGGCAGGTTCTTAAACCTATTTGCATCTCAGTTTCTTCAAGCCTAAAATGGGAATAACATACACTTACCTTACAAGGTGGTTTTGGGGATGTCCAGCCCTTTCTGTGAGTACAACATATAGATCACTCCTCCTAATGGAGGAGATAGAAACAGGGACGTGAGATGGGTGGGTCTGCTGTTTGTGTCCCTTTGTACCGCACTCCCTACATTCAGAGTAGAACACCTTCACTACATCTTTCAAAGATGGCTTTGTTCCTAAAAAGTAAAATTATCTTCTGAAAGTGGCTAAA